CATTTAATCTCTATGTAAACTACATAATACAAAAGTTATAAAATCAAATGTTTGTGATAACACCTCTGAAACACATGGTAGTATCATCTCCATACTTATCATTCACATTTTGGATGTGTGGTGGAATGAGGATGAGGATGATGATGATGATCAGTAATACAGGATGTCATATTAGAGCACATAATAAATAAATTATTTGCTCTAGATCATACAAAGAGCAAGTAGTAGTTCAGAGGGTCGCACCCAGGTCTTCTCACCTCAAAGGCCAGGCTGCTAACCACTTTTTCTATACACAGTGTCCTTCTGTGTCAGTTCAAAAGTCAACAAAGTAAAAGGACCTACTTAAGGTCTTGTGGTCAATAGATGGCTGTGGCATCCAGGATGCAGGCTGGATGACTCCCAGCATCAGTCTAGCTAACCCATTATTGCAAGAAAGCAGAAAGCACATAGAATCTAAGGAATGAAATAGGAACAACATTTTCTTCTTTTGCTACCTTCCAGATGCTCTAAGCTCCAAATCTTCTCTTTTATGGGATACAGAAATGTTTCCTTGGAATCAGCAATTCTTCTAAGAAACTATCCCATGCATACAAGTAAAATAGAAAGAGGAATAAGCATAAAGCCTTTCCTGGCAGAACAAATCAGAACAGCAGAAAACTAGAAATAAGACACACATCCACCAAGAAGGAACTGACTAAATAATCTAAGGCACATCTACATCCTAGAGTACTATGCAGGTACAATGCAGTACTTCCAGTACTAAGCCAGGAAGACTCCCTTTCTTTTGTACTATTCACTTCACCTTAGGATATATTGTCAAATAAGAAACCAAGGCACAAGAAAGTGTGTTGAGCATCTGCTGTCCAATCTCATAGGCACCAACTATAACTGGGTATTTAAGTTGATTAAATTTATATTAAATAAAAGATTCTGTTTCTCTATCACACCCATCACATTTTAGGTATTCAACTACCACAGACATAAAGCAGCCATTGTGTTGGACAACGTACACACAGAATATTTTCATCTCTATAGAAACTCAGACTAATTTTCGATATACTACTTCTTACCTATGAATTAGAAGAAGAATCAAATAAATATTATAGTTTGTTATATTTTTAAAATTCTAAGGCTAAAATTAAAAAAATCAAATGGTGTATATTCTCTCAAACGTATTTACTGGATCCATGTGATGAATAGAACAAGAAATATCAAGCAACCAGGTAGCCATGAGTAACTCTGTTGAGAGCCACAGCCGAATTGGCCCCAGCCAACTTCCAGCTGATTGGCTCACAGCAGCCCCAGCAAACTTCCAGCTGATTGGCTCACCACAGCTCCAGCAACTGCGGTGATGCTCATTGGAGTGTTTCCCCGCCCCTTTCAGACCACGGAGCTGCTCATTGGGGGACTCTTTTGGCTCTGCCCACGCAACCCAGGCAATCAGCCTCAAGAGGAGGAGGAGTGGGGGTTCCCCGGAAGCCTGTGGTGGCAGTTGGACTCTGAGGGAATTCCTGAAGAGCTCCTGTGGTGCTGCATGTGTTCTAAAAATAAAGTTTGTTTGTGCTTGACAAGTGGCTCGTGAATTGTGCCCAGCCAGGCTGTGGCATTATCAAGCAACCAGGTAGCCATGAGTAACTCTATTACCCAGATTGATTCTTCTAAAAATATGTCCTACCAAAAGGAACCAGGATCCTATGGAGACATGTCTGATTACAGGTCAGGGTTAGAACTAAACATGGTGAATCTGGACAAAGCTATCATAACTGAAATTATATCAAGAATACTCAGAAGCCACTGAAGCCTCCTATTGGGCAAAAACAGAGAAATTCCAACATCAACAAGGTTAATGACTATAATGGGGTGAAATATGAAACAGAGACGTCTAGAATCTCATGATGAAATTCTAAAACAAAAATAAAACACAAAACACGATCAAAGAACATCTTTGGAAAAACAAGGAAAAACTTTCTTGTTTTGAAAAGTAGAAATATTGTAAAAAAAATTCATCCTACCTTTCTATACATTCAAGAATTCAGTGTAAACTAGTGGATGATGATGGGAAGATTCTTTTCCAGAATGCCAGCTAGTAAATATAAAAATATTCATAGGATTAGATTATAACACTTTTACAACATTCAATGAAAACCAATCACCTTCAGTGAATGCAAAAAAAAAAAAAAGTTACATGTAAGGCAGATGGAAAATTTTATAATGAATTGTTCAGGCACATAACACATGAACTGAGTGATCAGTCCTAAAGTCACAAGAAGAAACCAAATTGGACATATAAGCTTCCTGGTAAGACCACAGAAATACACAACACTATATATTCGGGTACTTTCAAAAAAAAATCTGTATTTAGTGTAACCAATTAATCTAATACAAATTTAAGGGTTGAAGTGGTGGCAAAAGGAACATGACATTAAGATACAATGAGCAAAATCCACAATGCAAACTACACTGGCAAGAGCTCTAGATTTTTAAGCAAATACATTAGAAGGTATGATGGTTAATTTTATGCTCCTATGAAATTAGGAGAGCCTAATTTCACTAGGCCAAGCAGTGCCCAGACATCTGGTCAATCATGTTGGATATTTCTGTAAGGTGTTTCTAGGTGATATTATATCTGAATTGGTGAACTGAGGGAAGCATGTTGCCCACCCAGTTGTGGACATGCATTACCTAATCAGTGAATGACCTGATTAGAATGTAAAGGCTGAATAAGAGGGAATCTTCTGACTGATGGCCTAAGTTAAGATATCAGTTTTTCTTGCTTTCAATACTGAATGAAAAATTGGCACTTGGACTGGAATTTACATCACTGACTCTCCTGATTCTTTAGCCTTCAGACTTGGACTCTTTTGTCTCCCACTCCATAGGATTTTCTATGTTTATACCTTGCTGTTTGCAGATCATGGGATTCTCAGCATTTATAATCACATGAGCCATTCTTCATATCATATTCAAATTTCAGAAAATCAAAGATGAAAAAGACTTGAAGGATGCAAAGGGCAAAACACATTACCTATAGAGAATCAAAAAATTGAAGAACACCTTGACTTCTCTTCATGCAAGAAAGAAGGGAATGGAGTAAAATATTTAAAAGGCTGAATTTAAAAAAGCTACCAATCTAAAATTCTATATCCTATGACACTATCCTTCAAAAGGAAAAAGGAAGAGGCTGGAGCTACAGCTCAGTTGGTAGAGTGCTGAGAGAGAGAGAGAGAGAGAGAGAGAGAGAGAGAGAGAGAGAGAGAGAGAGAAAGAAAGAATATTTTCTCAGAAAAACAAAAGTTGAGGAAATACAGTGCTAGTAAAACTGCCTTGCAGGAAATATTAAACGACATTCATTAGAGACAAGAAAAGTTATCTGGGTCAGAAACTCAGATTTCTATAAAGTAAAAAAAGTATTAGAAAAAGAATATGTGAATGTAAAATAGTTTTTATTCTTATTCTTTAATGATCTAACAGATAATAGTTGGCTCAAAACAATAACAACAGTGTTTTTGATTATGTGTTTATATGTACGTATGATTGTGTATGCTTATTAAGTAAAATTAATGATAGCAACAATACCAAAGATGTGAGAGAGTAATTTGACTTATTCTGTTAATAGAAGATTAATTTCACTACCTCTGATTCAATATGAACTTATGATATAACTGTATCCTGCAATCTGTAGGGTAAACACTTAAAAAAACAACAGAAATTATAATTGATACATTAGACAGGAAAAACATGTAAGCATATAAAATACTCAAAACCAGAAATGGTAAAAAATATTGGAAGTCAGAAATAGGAACAAAGAAAAAGGACAATAAACAGAGAACCAGAAAAAATAAAATAGGTATTAGTCCAATCATGTTAATATCATTTTGAATGTCAATGGTCTAAATACACCAAGTTAAAGACAGATTATCTGAAGGGATCAAAAATTCAATCACCAAGTGTATTCTTGTGGAGAGTGGTGACAGAGAATGGGAGAGCAGTGACTGTGATTGGGGGTCTCTGATGACTTCATGGCTGTGGCATGCCTGTTGCCTGGGAATGTTTCTGTGCAAGGGTACAGGATGCCCAACTTCTATGGTGACACCCCAGCTGAAAATGCTCTGTTTAAAAGTCTTATCGCCTTCCACCTTGATCTCAGACATATAGCCCCCAGGGATAGAGGAATTAAACTGGGAATAATCATATGTGTCATCAATTACACTCCCAGGTACACACCCAAGATAAATGAAAACTCATGTCTACATATAAACTGGCACAGGAATATATGTAGCATCATCATCATGCACAACAGCCAAAAAGTGGAAATAACCCATGTGTTTCCCCTCTTGATGAATGGGTAAATAAAACAGAGTACTGTGTTTTACATTAAATAAAAGAAATAATGATGTACCAGGGATCAACCGGGAAAACAGGTGAAGAATTCAAATGCAAAAGACCAAATAATGTGAAATGTATGGAATAGGCAAATCCAGAAACACAAACATACGTTTCCTGGGTCTGAGGTTAGGATCAGGGTTTAGCTGCTCTGAGCACGATGCCACATTTTAGGGTTATGGAAATATTTAAAACTTAATTGCTCAACTCTATAAATATACTAGGAAACCATCAAGCTGTAATATTAAAATGAGTAAATTGGTAATTGTATTATTCCAAATTATATTGCAAAAAAGCTTTGAAAAATACTACATTGTTCTGAGATTCCATTGTATCACAATAACACTCAAACTTAGCTCTTCGAAAGTTGTTTAATGCACATCTATTTGATAATACTGTGGCTGTATCCTACCCTGATGACTCTATGTTCTGTGTAACTCCAAGCAATGACTGTGCCCTCTCCCCCACCACCCATACTCCCTTGGGTTGCTCATTTGTATAAAAGCCAATTTACACCTTATCACTTCCACCTGCAGCACTGGTTTGATAGTGGGTTCACTACAGGGTCCAAGTCCCTGTCCTCTGTGACAAACTATCAGCATTGTTACTTTTCTTACTCCTCTGTGGCCTTGGGCAGTCCAAGAAGCACCACCTTTATGAATGTCAGGATGACAGTACTTATTAGAGGGCTCCAAATGTACCAACATTTTCTCTTTCAGAAGTCGATCTTCAGGATAGAATGAAGGATGTTGATAAGGCTCAGGTTATAAGGATGCCATGCTAAGAATTCCCTTCCTTCACTTCTGGACCTGAACGTAGGAAGGGAGGCCAAATAGGATGCAAATCTATGAAGAAGCAAAAAGAATACAGAAATGTGTTTGTCACCATATGTGTGCATGCACAAATACCCAGTGTCACTTCCTCAGGCACACACACTCTCTTATACTCTCTCATTCTCTCTCTCTCTCTCTCTCTCACACACACACACACACACACACACACAAACACACACACACACACACACACACACACACACACCACATACTCCTATAAAAACCAAGCTCTGTTATCATATGATAATTTTACAAGACAGTTTGCTAGGCTCAAATATAACCTATTTATCTCACTTGGCAAACAGTGGTGTGAACTGTGCCCTAAACTGTACCCTTTAGCAGAATATAATCTGGAAACGCAATACACACAGGGTTGACAACAGGGACTATAAAAACACTCTAAGTGACACAGGGTTGTGAATATTATTTTACATACATAGAATTCCAGATGGTAGCAAAAACAAGTCAGAATGACAATGATATAAGATCCTTTCACTATCACATTAGCAATGATTCCCATTGTCTCTCATGTGTGGAGACATAGGTACTTTTATGCTTCACTGTTAGGAATATAAATGAGTAAGAGCATTTAGAAGTCCTTATGTCAACAGAAATGCTTACAAACATATTTGCATAAGCATACATGTATTACGTGGTGTGTGTATGTATATATTTATATTGTGATAATAGGGTGTTTGGTACACTATCATTTGTCATTAGAAAACTATAAAAGGTTCTAAATTTTCATTACTTTGATCCTAATTTAGTTTTGATGTATCCACACAGTGAAAACCCCAATCAGGGGGGAAAAGCCTGAAATTTTGTTGAAAATTAAAAATGCAATCAGAAATATATTCTCCTGGAATGATGCCCATATTAATTAAGGGGAAATTTGCTTTCCAAAGATTGTGATTACTGTGAATACTTTTTTGGTTTGTATGTCTCCAGCTAATTATCCAGAAGTTTCAAAGTGTAAAAGTAAGATTTATTTGGTCCTCTCACATAGAGCTTTCTCTTCCCAATAATGATAAACTTCATTTTCTGGGTGAATGTCCTCAGCATACCTACACACTGGCAATGTCCCCTTTTATACACAGGCTTCCAGAAAGTTTTGTAGAATAGACTTGGTCAGAGCCCTTCCCACCCACTTTCCTGCTCAGCTGTTTTCAAGTTGCAGTTCAAGATTCTGTCACAAGGTGGAACCAACACACCTGCATTATCAAAAGTCTTTACAAAGAGGTGGCTGAAAGGAGCAAAGGAAGAAAAAAACTCACTTAAAACCCAGTTTGTGAATCTATAAACACAATGATTCTAATTCTTAAAAAAAAAAAGTGAATCCATGAAAGAATATTGTAAAAAGTGTACCATGAAATGTCAGGTAGCTCCAGTGTGCCTTGGAGTCACCAGTGGGCAAGGGGTAAAGAAAGGAAAGAGGGAGGTAACTGAATTGATGGGGTCACTAAAGCAGGATCTGGGCTGTGTCCAATGTTCTAGAAAGGGGATGACTAAGAGGTGGTGGGAGAAGGTCTGGGAGAAGTGTACAGGGATGGAGTAATGGAAGGCAAGGTCTATATTCTCTGGGAGGGACCCCTCTGCAGTACACACACCTCTACTTACACTGAAGGGAAAGAGATAAATCAATGAATGACATGTAGATTTGGGGTTAAGAGCAAATAGAACTGCTTTGATATACACGTGAAGCTCCTAAACAGAACAAGTATCATATTCAACCATTTTGGGTCATTTATTAGTCAACAAAATATATGCCTTTTCATTAAAATATACATAGGCATAGTGTCAATGCCACCTCTTGGCCAGAGTGAGTAGCTGGAAAGGAGGAATGCAGACTCTGAACTTGACTGGATCACAACTGTAGAGTTGTTTTGGAATACATTTTTTACTTCTGTCTCCAAGATTTTCCTGGAATACAATAAAGCACATTTTCTGGGATATCTCATTCTGGTGTGAACTAAAAATAAAGCTGTAAGTGTGAGCTCTACTTGAGGTATTAGAGATAGAGGAGCTAAGGCACACAAACAGAGCCAATCCCATTTCTCTATTTATCTCATTTTCTCTATGAAATTAAATCCAATGAATATTTTTCCAAAGAATGGAATATATGTACCCCTGACTTTTGTCAATCTTTTACACGTTTTGTTTTACATTTTTTATTCAATTACCTTTATTTTAAAAAATATTTATTTTTAGTTGTAGTTGGACACAACACCTTTATTTTTGTTTATTTATTTTTATGTGGTGCTGAGGATCAAACCCAGGGCCTCACACGGGCTAGGGGAACACTCTACCACTGAGCCACAATACCAGCCCTACCTTTAATTTTGAATACAAAATTTCAAACAATACATAGAAGCATTTATTAACGCTAATTAAACTACATCTCTCACTGGCCTCACACCTACCCCTTGACCCAAAGGGGTCTGTTGTCAATAAAATGGTACATGCTCTGTAGATGTGTCCCCATTGGTTAGATGTACATGATCATACAAACAACAGCATTTTCCAAAAGTGAAGTCACAGTAATCATCTTCATTTTCACCTTGCCTTTTCCAGTTAATGTCCTCTGAGTTTTTAAAGAAATTTTTGAATTAATTCTTCTGATTTTGGCATATTTTAAGGTTTATTGTTCAAATATGGTTTATATGAATTTTCTGTTGAATTTACATACTAATTTTTGTCACTGTACTTCAGAAACCATGGATCCTAACTGATATCCTTAATGCAGGCTGTAAATAATTTCCCCCAAATTTTCGTACATTTCTTGGTGTACTTTTTAAATATAGAATTTAGATTTATTATTATTTTAATAATAGCATTTGTGACTTTAAAACTTAACAGATCAAAAAATTGTTTTCAATGAATAACCAGGAGCATGAAAGGGTATTTCTATCAATTTAGATCATTTAAAATGCAGGAATAATGAAGATAACAATAGGAAAATATATTGAGTAATTTAGAATCGGCTGCTGACAGAAAAATGACAAAGATGTCTCCCTAATTTACATCAACTCCCCTAAAATGAATGCCCTAATCTGAATAATGATTATAATAATGGGTAGCATGATTAAAGAAGATTGTATATAAATTATATTGATTTAAATAGTTCAGTACATACCACTTTCCACCCCTCAACTCACCTGTCCCAAGATCTAAGCTTCTGCCTGTCCCTGGTCTTTACTTCAGGTATCAGCCACCTCATGTGACCCTACAACCCATTTCTACCGGCCCAAAAGGCTTTCTTCTTTCTCCATCACCAAGAGGTCTTGAAGAGTGGAGCTCTAGGGACAAGAATACCAGGGGAGTATAATCTGACTATGTCTCAAGCCCTGGAAGCCCATCTTCTAACAGAGGCCACCCAGTGTCTTCTAGGGAGGGTAAGGGATGAGACTAAATTCTAACCCTGCTACTGTGATTTAGGCTTTTTGAGCCTTGGCTTGGTCATTTGTGAAATGGGACTGACCATGCCATCCTTACAGAGGTGACCTGAGGGTAACTCAGAAAAAACTGTCCAGAGAATACAGCATGGAGTAGGTCTCAAGCTTGGGACACCACAGTAGCGGCTGGCTGAGCCTGAGGACTAAGGCAGGCATTGGGCAACCCAGATACTCATTTTTTCTCCTAATAAGAACACAGATAGCTAGACAAAGGACACAGATCTCTCCCTGATGGGCCTTGAGTTCAATGTTTTTTTTTTAAATAGTTTTTTTAGTTGTAGATGGACACAATATATTTATTTCATTTAATTTTATGGAGTGCTGAGGATCAAACCCAGTGTCTCATGCGTGCTAGGCAAGCACTCCAGAGTTTTAGAGACAGAAGTTCCTCTACATTCTTGGGTGTTTCATGATCTGATAAGAGTTTTCCACATCACACCTCTGAGCAAACTCAAATCCAGTTCCCCATGCTATGAAGACAGGAGCGTCTGTGACATGATCTGCTGAGTTCAGTGAAAAGTCACACTCACTAGCCTGTCCTCACTGTGCTTCATTTCTATGTTGAAGTGGAATTAAAATAGTTCCACCTTGTGAGTTGTGGTGAGAGTCAAAGGGGCAACTGACAGCAGTATTGAGCACTGAGAAAGTCACATTAAAAACTGTATTGCTTTCATTTATTTTTATAAAGCACCATGGATAGAACCTAGGGCCAAATGGATGCTAGGAAATCACTCTACCAGTGAGCTGTATCTTTACTGTCATTTTTCTTAGTATGTGCATTTTATTATTGGCATGGATTGCTCTCCATAATATGTACATCAAAAAATTATCTTATGTTGCTGTAAGTAGGATATTATGTCATTTCTATTCTTAAATATGGATGCATTTGCAGAATAAAATTTCTAAAAAACTATAACAAATTTCGTCTATAAGGAACAGAAATTTAAGGAGTTTTTGATGATGTTATTCCTTTTGTGTATTTTCCACTTTTATCTACAACAAAAACACCAAGGTTTTGGAAGTGGGAAAAAAAAACAGAACAATATTTCCAGCCTTTCTTATAGAAAGTAGTGCAACATAGCAATGGGTACAGCTGTAAACCAAGGGAACAAGGTAATAGGTCTCTGAAATAATGTGTGCACTTATCCACATGACAGTCCCAACAGAACAGTTGCAAACAAATTACAGATTTAGGCTTTCAGGCAAAGGGCAAGCATGTCTCCCAAACAAATTTTACTTTCAGGCAGATGATGTCTCCACTTCCCAGACTTTTAATGAAGGTCATGAGATGAAAATAATTTCACAACATGTGTCTTTCCTTATTCTCCTAAATCAGCCTTAGTGGGAAGCTATCTGTTTACCCACTAGTTAGGCAAGCAGAGACTGCCACAGGGGAATAGCAGAGTGAGTGACAGCATGAAATCTCCTTGCACTCAGCATCACAGCTTCCAGAGGGCAGATCCAATTAGACCAGAGCCTCAGAAGTAATCAACACACAAGGTGACTAAAGGACTTTTGACCTTCCTTCTGCAAGTAAAAATAATGAAAGGAAAATATACATATGCTATGCATTTGTGATGTAAAATCAGATCAAGTTCTGAATAGAATGCATCCCCACAGCAACCATGGGATTTGGATCTGGACACATAATATGTGTCCAGATTAAAAAAAAAAAAAAAAAAAAAGAAACAATAGTTGCCACTTAAACTGGAATGGTCCAGATTAGTTCCAGATGTATAGGCCAGGCCTAGATGAACACAGTGAGAAAGACAAAATTAGGCTTGAAAAAATGGAAGAGGTGTCATGGCAGGACACAATGAGACATTGTTCCAGGTGAGTTAGCTCTAGGGAAACCCTAAATCTTTGGACACATCAGGAGAATAAAGGCATTGATTTAATGTTTATTTACATATATAAATTATCAAAATATTACAATTACACCTGATGAACATACAGAATTACTATTGTCTATTAAGCAAATTAAAATAAATGAAGAAATAAATAGTATTGAAAGTGTATTTGGCAGAATTTTAGTGCTCCCTAGAGCATATAACCTGGGAAAGTTACTTGCAGATATATACATATATAATAAAACTACAAAGAAAATTCCTAAAAATGAAAAACCCTAGGCTGGTGTGGTGGTACATGCCTGTTATCCCAGCAGTTCTGGAGGCTAAGACATGAGAATAGTGAGTTCAAAGCCAGACTCGGCAATGGTGAGGTGCTTAGCAACTCAGTAGGGCCCTGTCTCTAAATAAAATTCAAAATAAGGCTGGGAATGTAGCTCAGTGGCTGAGTGCCCCTGAGTTCAAGCCCCAGTACCCCTCCAAAAAAAGAAAAAAGAAAAGAAAAACCCCAATGCTGTAGAGGGCCTAATTCTGGGCAAGAAAGAGGATAACATACCCAGAGGACATTCCACCATGTATTTCAGCTGCACATGTAATATTTTATATGTTAACATGAGGATGTAAAAGTTTGTTTACTCTAAAATTTTTGTGTACCTAAAATATTTCCAAACAACTATTATTTCCACAAACTGTAATTCTGATTTTTAAAGTTTCCATATTAATTTAAGTTTGTTGAAAACATAGCCAATTCCAGATATAAATAATTAATCAACAACCTGATTACTCATTAATTTTGAAAAATACATCATTGTGTGCATTTCCTCCCATTTATTATCCCTGCAGATGTATTTACTGTGTAGGACTATATATAAATTTCATCTCTCTGGAGACTAAATATTTGCTAAAAAATTCTGAATCTGATAATTAAATATGCAAAATCTTCTTCTCACTTTATATGATTACAAATCCCATTCCCAAAACACTGAAAAAACATTTTTTTTTTTCTGTGTAAGGGCTGAGGCCTATATACGGGAAGTAACTCTCTGGCCTTGTATACAAGGATGCATTTGGTATTTATGAACAGGCCTCCTGATTTCAGTCTCTTGTCCAGTAGAGGCACCTTCACATTCTGTTGTTCTATTCTGTCTCCTATCCAGGACTCCATGGGAGGCTATTATTCCAATGGGGAAATAGCAGGCAAAAGAAGACTATAAGAAAGGATATTGAATACAAAGTAACGAAGGAATGATTTGCTTTTACCTCTACTCCATGATCAGGTAACTTGTTATACAAAGAGAAAGCATAATTCTTCTATCATATAAATATGTAAATATTTAATTTCTTGCTGCTTGGTGTCAAATTGACATACTGGAGCTGTCCATGGTAAAGTCTTGTTGTTTGTAGAAAGAAGATGATGTATGCCAATACATACATTTGGTGTAGTACTGTGGGTTAGGGACTGTCCCCAGAGATACTCATTGCTCACGTTCTCCTCACAACAGCTCCATGAGGTATGTATCAAGGTGCCCACTTAACACTTGGCCCAGGTCTGGCTCCCAAAGAGTTACATGATAATATAAGGTGGTTACAAAAATGTCTAAGCAGAAACAGGAATGGGGATCTATTAGTTATATATAAATATATATATATATATAATGAAAAATACAAAATGTGTTCATTCACATGTTATTTTAAAAAATGAAAAGATCATATTTTAAGCACTTGATTATTTAACTCAGCCTGATCACCAATGACATAAATTTGTATTTGAAAAGTTACTGCAAATTGACATATTTTTGAAAATTTAATATGTACATATATTACCTTTTATTGAAATTATATGTTGTTTTCTTTGGCCTTCTCTCTATTCATTACTAATAGTTATTTTCCATAATCAGAATATTAAGCAGTTTTGTTAAGATTGGGGTGGGCTTGTGACTTAGTTGTAGAGCACTTTGCTGGCATGTGTAAGATACTAGATTTAATACTCAGTACCACAAAATTTAAAGTATTCCCCAATATGAAATACTTTTTTAGTACCTCATTAAAGCAAAGAGAAAAAAAAATAGATGAGCTGGGACTGTGTGCTATAGCTCAGTGGTAAAGCACATGCTTAGCATACATGAGGGCCTGGGTTCTGTCCATGGTACCACAAAATAAAATAGATGATCTACTAAAAGTCATAGTAAAATTCAGTATTGTTTTTATGTGTGTATAAACAATAGGATAGAATAGAGCCAAAATGACCAAATATATCGACCATATAAAAATTTTAAGTTGATATAATTTACCTATTAAAAGAAAAAGACTTTCAGATTGCCTATTGAAGTAAAATTCAAAAGTGCTGATTTTCAAAATATATACTGAAAAAAGGCATTTAAATTCCATATTAAGCCAAGAGGGACTTAGCAGGGACAGAGGCAGGAGGATCACAAGTTCAAGACCAGACATGACAATTACCAAAGGTAGTGGTAGTGCTGGAGTTGTGGCTCAGTGGTAGAGTGCTTGCTTAGCATGTGTGAGGCCCTGGGTTTGATCCTCAGCATCACATATAAATAAATAAAACAAAAGATTCATTGATAACTAAAAAAATATTTAAAACAAGGCAATGGTACAGGGAATTTATTGATGATGCTACTACAAAGAGCTGGGCACATAGGCATTCACCACATTACAGGGCACCAATTACCCATGGATATATAAATGAATGCGAGATATCCTAGCATATAGGGCAAACATTTTCCCCACATTCTCACTAGCATGTAATGGTTGCCAGGATCAAATTCTGGTCCTTCTTATCTCCAAACACATGCCCAACCACTGTTTCCATATTTATTGCCCTTCTATGTTACACTAGATGCCAACAAAGAAAAAAGACTCACCAAAGAAGGTTCTGTGCTCCACTGATGTTGTAGTAATAGGGATGCAGATTTGATGACTCCCTTTGTCATTTAGCCAATGCCTTACTGTTCATTCTACTGGACTATTTCAGAAGTGCAGTAAGAAACTGCCACATTTGTGTCCAACTGGATGGAAAGGAAGAAGAGAGGAAAACACAGGGAAGAAAGGAAATGATGAGGTGGGACCAATACTTCTTTTGGGTACATTCCCAGATGCTGCCTCAAATCTTCTATGTTATGGGACAGAGGAAACAGAGTGGGCTGGCAGTGACATATATCAAGATCCCACCACATACCAGACATTCTGTGGGACTTTCTTTTTATTTTTCTTATTACAGTAAGTCTGTGAAGAAAACACTCTTGGACCCATTTGACAGACTAACAAGCTCAGATTCACAGAAGATATGCCCATTTCCAAGGTGGAACATCAACCCTTCACCTTCTACTAAGCCCAACAAGCTGACCTCATGTAGATAACAGTTTTCTAGTGTTTCAGGGTGACAGTGAGAAACTCACTCAATATGAAGGCTAAGTTATATCATGCCCTCTTGATTATCATCCTCCTTTTATTAATGAAGATGATGGTGAAGATGAATTCCTGCCCTGTGGTCAAGAGGCCTGGGTGTGGGTGCCACATGGGTTTTCTCATTTCTGACATACTGAACTGAACCAGGAAGCTGCATAAGCTGTTGGTATTTGGAAAAGAAGACTGAATCTCATTTTAATACTAGTAATTCTAGCCAGGATTAGTAATTATCCCCATTACTTGAATCAGGCAACAGAAATTAAAAGTTAGGTAACTTGACTTAATTTGCTGACTTAAGGAAGCAACCTTAAAATAAATGTTCCAGGACTCAAAATCTGAAATGATTAAAGACTAAACTTTTTCACCTTTGAAATCTGAGCTGACATAGACATTTGATATATGAGGCATTGGTATTCACTGGAATTTGGCTGTTCTCTTGAAGACCATGTGCTGAAGGACTTTTAAAATATTAACTATAATAACAAAATATAGGTAAAGAATAAAACAGTATGAAAATGGGAGAAACTAGACTATTTCTAACCTATATTCAATCATGTGTTTTTGTTCTTGATGTGTGGAATATTCTTAAATAATCCACATGAAAACAAAATCAAATCCCAAATACTTACCAACACACCAAAAAGAAACAGTCAATCAGGCAAGTCAAAAAATGTAATGTCAAACAGGGTCCCATTATAGAAAAGAATATGTTTATGAACATAGGTTTATGGATATGTACATGTGATTAAATATAAGTTATTTTATTACAAACTGAGAAAATCTTGAGAACGGGCATGAATAAATTGATGGACATTCTTTTCTTATTCAGGATGATGAAAAGATAGGGAATGAAGGGAGATACAAAATAATTTCAACTTCTAACATACATTTCAATTATGTTTGATACGTCTTGTGCATGTGCAAGCCCATGTATGTGTATTCATGTGTGGTATACTGGGAATGAAAACAGGGCCTCACATATTGCCCTGGTTTTCATGTCTTAAATGACAAAAAGAATTAAATAGTAGTGTGACAAAATGATTGTGATAAAGTTTCATAAATAAGAAAATCTGTAAACTCAGTCAAAAAGTTCATGGTATAGAAACACAGTTATGGGTGAAGAATCATGCCTATGTACATGGGAAATGCCTATGTAATTCAATAACTATAATCACATGTTTTCACCATCCTGAGGGTGGAGATCCAGCAAACAACAGAAAACCCCACCTATTGGATGAGAAGGGAAGCAGGAAAGATACTGAATTCTAACAAAAACATCCTTATATTTTCCTTCAAGAATTTCTTTTCTTTTTTCTTCTCTCTCTCTTCTCCTGCCCTCACATCCACAAAATTTGTGAATCAAAGTACTTTTTGTGATTTAGGCTACTGAGGACTGGAATACCTCTTTAAGTTTTATTTAAAGATGGACACAGTATCTTTACTTTTTTATTTTATTTATTTTTATGTGGTGCTGAGGATCGAACACAGTGCCTCACATATTTGAGGCAAGTACTCTACCGCTGAACTATAACCCCAGCCCCAGAATACCTCTTTTTTAATTACCAAAATACATATATTCATGTGATTCCTATTAACTTACTCACATTTTCTTATTCTTGATACTAAATATGTAGGTACAAAACAAAAACAATTGAGGACCCAAGTCAATGCTATGGTTTCATTTTTATCACCATCAAAACCCAAAAGCTCACTTTACAACAGGGAAAAATAGTAATATTGCAATTGTTCCTTAGTTAGTCAGGACTGCTATCACAGAATACCATAACTGGTTGGCTTAAATAATGAATATTCATTTCTAATTGTTCTGGAGATGGGATGGTTGGAGATTAAGGTGTAGGCAGGATTTTTTATCTACCAAAGGCCCTTGTCCTAGTCTGCATAGACTATCTTCTTGCAGCATCCTCACTTGGCTGAGAGAGATGTTTCACATTTCCGTTCTTATAAGGCTACCCTCATGACCTCATTTAAACCTAATTACACTATTAAGGTCATACATCCAAATAATACTACACTAGGCAGTAGGGATTCAACATATCAATTCAGGAGGAGGGGACAAATTCATTATGTCTATAGATTAATTATCCTATTTGGGGGAAAGTTTAATAAATCCAAATTTTTATATTTATTTGTAAAGTATTATACTCCTACATTTGTAGATAAACTTATTAAATACTTTTCTTTCAGTGTATATAAAATGGATATTTAGGTGCTTCACAAAAGAACTGGTAATCTCCGTTTCCCTTACAAGTCTTCCTCCAGTAGATAGTATGTATTGAATACTCAAAAAATCCTGTCCTAAGTATTGAGAAATAATGCTTCTGCTGTTTCATATAATCATGGCTAAAATAATTTTTAAAACTAAAACAAATATGTAAGCTGAATAAAACAAGCCAGATCATAGGAGTACAATTCTATTTAAATGATTCTATTTAAATGAAATTATAAGAAATCAAAACTGATCTGTTAACAAGATAAGTGATTGCTTGGTGAGGGGAGGATATTCTGAAAATGTGATTTTCTGGGATATAATGATTTAAGAGCAACTGGTAATTTGACATAGTGATTCCCTTTAAAAAGATGACCATGTTCACATACTAGGTATCACTATATTAAGGCAAATACACAAGGAATTGTTATTTTAAAATCATTAAATTCTTATAAGGAACATTTTAAGCCCTCTAAACATTTCAGTCTTAAAAATAATATTTAGACAGTGGATAAAACTGTAGCTACCCGGGAAGTATTCGTGTTACAATTTCAAATTCCTAGAAGGATCTTTCTTGCAGTCAACTACATATTTCCACACTCACATGAGAGGTCCATGAGATTTGTTGATTATCATTAATAGAGAATTATATTTAAATGCATGTTAAACAGCATGTTCCTTAGCTAAACTAGTCATTACGACAAGGAAAGGCATTTCAAAGATGGGTCTCAACTATTACTATAAAGCATAGTACTTGCTGAAGGCAAATTCTACCTGCTGAACCTCTTCAAGGGAGAGATTAAAATAGCTTCTCTACCTTGTAGCTATTTTGTGAACCTCATGTGTGCTATTTCGCCATGCACTTTTGTTCAGATCTATGGAATAATTTAAGACAGGTGTTATTACCAGAGATGCAAGTGTTGGGGGGCCTCCTGAGCACTGCTTGCTCTTCAGATCTGGAATAGAAGCTTCAGCAGCCATTATGACACACATCTTCAGAAAATGTCTTCTTCAGACACTTAATATGAGCTCAGTCACCAGAGGAAGAGCTTCCCAGGGGGAGAAAGAATCCAGAAATGACTATGCTTTATTGGAATAACTATATCTGTGGACCATGCTAGGCACTGAAGTGAGCATTCGTGATCCCACAATAACCACAGAGCAATGGGGCTTATACGTGTGGTATCCCCGAAAGTTCTGCCAATCCCGTGGCTGAGCATTCTTGCCCCCATTTTACAGAGAAGCCTAGTGGAGGGCGCTTCCCTGTCTTACCCTCCCGCGCCCCGCCTTTACATGGAAAGGAGGTCCAGGCCACCCTGGAGCAGGACATCACCATGCCTGGGGCCAGGAGGGCCCCAAGTCTCTCTCCCTCTCCAGTCAGCAAAGGACCAAGTCTCAGAGCGGGAACGAGGCGACTTGGGCCAGGGATCTCTTCGTCTCCCCACACCCCAGGGAGGCTCAGCCCGCACCCGGAGAAACCCACGCCCTCTTCGGAGAACCAAAACCTGTAGGCTGGACGCTGCTCTTCTCAGGATAGCAAGTCGGTCTCCTTTCGAATAGCGTCATAGTCGCATTCATGACGTCAGGTTTCTATGGCAACCGCGATGCAGGTTGGTCCCGCCCCAGAAATGCCTCTGGGCGGGTGTCCTATTAATCCCCTAACCTTTCTCTGGAAGCTGGACGGCTTCACTCTTCAGGCCACCACCTGAGAAAGTGCACTAATTAGAGGAACTAGGCTGAGACTCAGGCCATGGGGAGAACTCTGCCCACACCCTCAGATGGGTCCAAACTCCTGAAGGAGGCGCCCTGCTCTCGAACCCGAGCAAGTCGGCCTCTTTTAGAATGTCGTCAGTCACCAAAGTCGCCATAATGACATCAGGTTTCTATGGCAATAGTGGTGCGCAGGCTGTTCCTAAAATCCGAAATGCTTTGCGCAGTCTTCCCGTCTGTTCCCCGGTTTCTCCTTTAAAACAATATGCCTTTACCCTTCTGGGCACCTGAGAAACATGCTAATTAGAGAAAGCACGTGAAGATGCTGGTAATCGGGAGCGCTCTGCCCCGTTGTTGGGACTAAGCACGTGACTGTTACCAAGATCTCAGCTACTGGGGAGGTGGAAGGAGGAGGATCTCCAAATTCAAAGGCAGCCTCAGCACCTTAGAAAGCTCCTAGCAACTTAGAGAGCCTCTGTCTGAAATTGAAAAATAATGATAACAGCTTCCAAGTGGGTACTCTTTCAAGAAAAAAAAAGTTGATGGTGAAGATGAAATTCCAGGGCTGGGGATGTGGCTCAAGCGGTAACGCGCTCGCCTGGCGTGCGTGCGGCCCGGGTTCGATCCTCAGCACCACATTCCAACAAAGATGTTGTGTCCGCCGAGAACTAAACAATAAATGTTAAAAATTCTCTCTCTCTCTCCCTCTCTCTCTCTCTCTCTCCCCCCCCCCCTTACTCTCTCTTTAAAAAAAAAAAAAAAAAAGATGAAATTCCAGTGTAGGGTCCTGTAGGTGGTAATGGAGCTAGTGACGACGTTTTAGGATTCCCGCGTCCTCTTTATCTACACTCTCCTTTCCAGTGAGACTTTATGGGAAACTGTTTCCCCAACATCAAATTAGAATATCAAATAAAGCGACAGAAAATGATGAGGAATGAAATGAGTCAATCCTCTTCCTCTTTCTCAGCAAGGCCCTCCTGTAACACTGAGAAGCCCCAAATCTTGATTCATAATGTAAAGGGGGAGATGTGCTGCTTCTTTCTGCTACATCCAGGTGGTGGCCTCCAGAGCAGCTGTGCTCTTTGGTTTAGGTAACTTTCATCATTTCTCTGGGAGAGGAGAAATTTCTGCCAAGATAAACGCTGGTTGAAATCTAACTCTACACCATACACTGTGAATAGAATTTCTCTTTGACCATTACAAATATGTAGGAGGGCATGTTGACTCCCTTTAAACAGAGACCACGTTCAGACTGACAAAGACTAAGGAAGGATTCCAGCACCACATCTCAAGTAAAGGTTCCATATTTTGCTCTGATTTCAGAGTTACATGCATTCTCAACAGGAACAATATTGCCCACAAGAGGCTTCAAACTGGTTCTCAGGGATAGAGGGATGGTACATATCATAATGGTTTGTGACACTACAAAGAACTACAGCACACATTTAACATTCCATCCATGATATCAACATTTATATTCTGGGCAGAAAGTGGGTGAGGGGGAAATGTTTAAAAAGCCTCCTTATGGGGAGATAATAAAAGATGAAAAGTTTAATATCCCCAATGACTTCATGTCAATGATGGGCCACAGGGCTTAATGATGGCAGACAAACAGAGGCTGAATCAGAATAACAGGTGTTTCACCTAGAACAGATGATTAGTTTTTTAGTTGTAGATGGACAAAATACCTTCATTTTCTTCATTTTTTTCTATGTGGTGAAACAAATGTCCCACATGTGCTAGGCAAGTGCTGTACCACTGAGCTATAACCTATAACCACAGCCCCCAGATGATTAGTGTTTAAACTAATGTAACCAAACTATTGTATCTCCTCTAATCTTAATCTTTAAGTAATTTGCTATTAAATCTACAGTTTAGATTGGGATATAGGAAGTTGGAAATGTTTATGTAAATCTGGAAAACTGTTTTTAATACCTGCTCAGTAGTCGTGCCTAGAATCTCACTAAAGCTCTGTATCATGCTGCTGCCAGGAATCTGGGTGCTCTGATCTCCCTAGAAACTCACATTCTATGCTGTCCCACAAAAATCAGGATGCTGGAACTTGCTTTAAACGAAATGACACAATCTATATAACAAGAGTGCATAAATCCAAAGTGATATAAACAAATGGCTGAATAATTAAAGGAATAGATTGAGATAAATTATCTCCATCTGATAATTCCACATAACATATGCTAATACCTGCCTTCCATGATGTGAAAATTAATTCTGATCCCAATCCCTGAGGGCAGAATTGACTTAGTGACTCACTTGCAAAGATGACAGTAAGCAGATGGAACACAGTCACTGTCCACTGGAGAACCTTGGCAAACATCACCTTAAACAAGTGATGAATAGTAGCATCTCCAGTGATTCACATGGCTATCCTTACTCCCAGATATAATATGATGAGGAGGTACTTTAATTCTCCGGTGTTTCCTGTTAAAACCCATGACCTTGGTCTAATTTGGAGAAAATAAAAGGCTAAGCCAGTGCTCCTCAAGGCTGCCTAGGTCATGGAAACAGTCTTGCATTTCTTCTCAAAATTAATCTAGGAATTATCATATGTGTCATCATTACACTCCTAGGTGCACACCCAAGATAAGTGAAAACATATATCTATGTATAAACTGGCTCAGGATTATATGTAGCATCATCATCATGCACAACAACCAAAAAGTGGAAATAGCCCACATGTTTCCATCTTGATGACTAGATAAAATGGAGCACTGTATTTTTTTATCAATTAAAGGAATGAAATACTAATTTGTTATAATAGAGATCAACCATAAAAAAGGTGAAGAAATCAGATGCAAAAGACCAAACATTGGGTGGTTCCATTTGTATGAAATGTCTGGAATAGGCAAATCCAGAGACACCAACATGACTTTCCCTGGGCTGAGGTTAGGATCAGGGTTTAACTGCTCTGAGCATGATGCCACATTTTAGGGAGATGGAAATATCTAAAATTCAGGTGCTCAACTCTATACATGTATTAAAAACCATTAAGCTGTACCTTTAGAATGGTAAATGGGTAATTGTTTTGTTTACAAATTATATTGCAAGAAAGCTGTGAAAAATACAATATTGCCATGAGCTTCTGTTGTATCACAATAACACTCACACATGAATATGAATAAAACTGCGATTGTATCCTATCCCGATGACTCTATATTCTGTGTAACTCCAAGCAATGACTTCCCCCCCACAACACCCATGCTCCTTTGGGTTGCTCATTTGTGTAAAAGCCAATTTACACCTCATCACTTCCACCTGCAGCACTGGTTTGATAGTGGGTCCACTACAGGGACCAAGGCCTGTCCTTGGTGACAGAATGTCAGCATTGTTACTTTCCTTACTGCTCTGTGGCCTTGGGCAGTCTAAGCAGCACCACCTTTATGAATGTCAGGATAACCTTACTCCTTAGAGGGCTCCAAAGGTGCACACCCTTTGTATCAACACCTTCTCTTTCAGAAGTCAATCTGCAGAGTGGAATAAAAGATGTTGATAAGGCTCTTGTTATAAGGATGCCATGCTGAGAATTCCCTTCTGGACCTGAATGTAAGAAGGAAGCCCAGGATGCAAAGTCATGATGGAAGAAAAAGAAGACTAGGGACATGTTATTGTCACCACATGTGTGCAGTGCACAGGCACTCTCATTTACTCACACAAGCACACTTCCCGCATAAACAAGCTCCTATAGAAACCAAGCTCTGTTGTCAAATTAGAATTCTCCAAGACAGTTTGCTGGGCTCAAATAGAATACATTCATCTCATCTTGAAAATAATGACGTGACCTCTGCCCTGAACTGTGTTCTTTAGCAGTATGTACTGTGAAAACACCATACACAGAAGGTTGAAAATAGGGGCTATGAAAACACTCTGAATAACAGTGTCGTGACCACCGATTATTTTAAATCTGCAGGATGGATTTCTAGAACATAGCAAAAATAAGCGATATTGACAACAAGGATGTAAGATCCTTTCACTATCAGACTTAGTGATACTGGTCTTTAAAATCAGGATCAGGGGCTTGTTACACCAGTGTTGAAGATTAAACACCTGAAAATTGCCAAGGCAAGAGAAGAAAGGAAATTTTATTTAAGATACAGAACAGAGAGAGAGAGAGAGAGAGAGAGAGAGAGAAGAGAAGAGAAAGGAGAGATTCCTCCAGAGAAGAGCTGTGAACCCAGAGCTGATGCCCATAGGAATGGGGGATGTCTTAGATTTTTATAGACTCCAGGTTTCCTTTCCTCTCATGTCCCCTCCTCCTCCTATCTTGCCTAACCAAAAGGAAGGAAAAGATCCACCCAGGGGGTACCTCTCCCTATTCTCCATACCTGCCCAAAAGACAGATAAAGGGTTATCCAGGGGGGTAAATGCTTCTGTTGGAAAGTGCAATTCTTCCCCTCAACCAGTTGATGGGGAAGTGCTATCTTCCCATTTCCTTTTTCTTTGATAATCAGCTACCTATCCTTTGCTCTGGTCTCATTAGCAATGATTCCCACTGTCTCTTATGTGTGGAGAAATAGGTACTTTCATGCTTCCATGTTAGGAAGATAAATTAATAGCAGCATTTAGAAGTCATTATGTTAATAGAAATACTTACAAATATATTTATTTAAGTGTATATATATATAAAATGTAGTGTGTGCACATATATATATATATATATATATATATATATATATACACACACACGATAGATAGATAGATAGATAGATAGA